GGAAGTGGTTTGCCAGTGCCTCCTTCCTAGAGCAGAGCCCAGCCGGCGAGTGCAGGAGGCGGGGTTTCCATTGCTTCGCGCCTTTTTCGGGCGTGTGTGGCTTCCGCGCTACCGGCAACTGCTCCCGACTCCTTTTGCAAGGCGCCGCCATTTTTCCTCTCACCAGAGTGAGAGTACCCATTTATCTACTCATGTAAGTTTTCGATCTGCTGGGTTGACAGGAGATGGGGGAGGAAGCAGGAGCTCACTCTGCTGTCCAAAAGCTGGGCTCGAACCACTGAAGTGTCGACCATTTCTGGCCGGCAACTTTCAGCGTCATTAAGCCGCTGCGCCACTGCGCCACCTTGTGCATGTATACATATACATTAATTTACATATACACCTCTGTGTGTGCATGTATGTACATATCTGCCAGAAAAAAAAAATAGACAGGGACAGGACCAAACGAACAACCAAACAAAAAGCCTACACGGAATTAATAGCTACTAATTAAAATTCCCAGCATCTAGTCTTAGCTGGGCTTGGAAACTTAACAGTAATGGCCTGATTAGTTAGTGTTTGGATGAGAGACGACAAAGATTTCCAAGTTTCTATGCTAAAGTTTTTAAAAAAATTCTAGAAGGCAGTAGCAAACCAGTTCCATACTATTGCCAAAAAAATGTTGCATGGATGTGCTCATGTAATCATCAAGTTTGACTCAAGTGTTTTTACTTTTACTCACTTAAAACCATCTGTTAAGTAAGATGCCCTATTTACACACACAAGCCACTATTACACTCAAGCAAAGAAGAAAACATACAACCCTTTATCTATCCCCCAGAAAGAAAAAAAGGAAAAAATCTAAAAGAGATAAGTAAAAATGGAGTTAGACAAAAAAATAGTTAGACAAGAAAATGAATGAAAGTGAAGCTGAGATAAAGAAATTGGATAGAAATGAGGCAAGGGGAAGCGGTAACTGGATAGGGAAGGAAAGAAAAAAGAGAGAAGCCCAGTTTAAGCATTACAAAAAGGGATAAGTTCACCAGTCACACAACTCTTCTCAAGCAGTTGTAATTTTCAAACGGTTAAGCTTATTCTGATAAACACAGTAGTTCATCCATCTAAATCACTGCAATCTAAATTTTTGCTTTTCTAGTAATTTACTCTGCATGGTGTTTATAACAGTCACAGTAAAAAAGTCTTAAGATACAAATTAACATACTAGAAATATATTTTAGTCTTCACATATTAAATTATAGAGTGTCAGTTATCGTTAGTTGCTATAAATAATGTTGATTTATAATAAATTGTCTTCTAGTAGCTGTAGAACTCCTATTGGTAAACACAGCCCTGATCTGTATTTAAGAATAAGCCCTAGTGTTGCTTATTTTTGCCTTAGTATATTATAGGTAGTCCTTGATTTATGACCTTTTGTTCAGCAACCATTAGAAATTATGGTGGTGCTGAAAAAGGAGACTTATGACCAGTCCTCAAAATTGTGGCTGTAGTCACGTGATTGTGATCTGAGTGCTTGGCAACCCATTTGTACTTACATGATCACATGATAGCCATTTGCAACCTTCCATGCCAGTTTTCCCAGTAAGTCAAGGGGGAAGCCAGCAGGGAAGATGGCAAGTTGCTGGGTAAGTCTCCCCCAGTTCCTCTGCAATTGCGCTGCACCGGCCACTCATGCACCTCCTGACCCATGCCATACCCCATGTACCCTCCCTGATCCATGTGGCATCTCTTGCACACTGCCGTGAACCCCGACCCACGCAGCACCTCTCACGCACTGCCACACGCCCTCCCGAACCCACATGGCGCCTCTTGTGCACTCTCCCCAGCCTGCACCCTTCCTTGTCCACCCTTCCTGACGTGGCACCTTTTGCACAACCTCCTCAACCTGTGTGGTCCCTCTTGTGCACTCCCCCGATCTGCATGGTGCCTCTTATGTACCCCTGCGCACCCCCCCAAACCCATGCGGTGCCTCTCATGCAGAACTGCATATCCTCCCTAATCTGTTCAGCACCTCTCACACACCCTCCCCAACCCTCCCCCATGCACCCCCTTGCTTCCTTCTCCACCTGGCAGCAGCCACTTACCTGCCTGTCAGGCTGGGACTTGCAACTTCCTGCCAGCTTCCCCACTGACTTTGATTGTGGGAAGCTGGCAGGCCTCACCTAATGACCATGGGATTCAGTTAATGATGGCAACCAGGACTGCAAGGATTGCCATTACACTTTATGACTGCATTGCTTAGCAATGGAAATTTGGGTCCCAACTGTCATCGTAAGTTGAGGACTACCTGTATATGCAAACTCACCCATTATGGGCTAGTGTTATGTATGAACCTGGCCATTATAACTTGTTTAATAAGCTACAGTTAAATGTGTAACTGCATCACAACAGACATTTAGGATTCAATATTTTCCTTGGAGTAAAATGAGTGGACTTATTTTGAAGTCCAGAGACATGTGCACTCACTACCACATGTTCACAATAGGCCCTATGTTATTATATTTGAATTTAAGTTTCATATTCAGCACGTACCTGTACACTGGCTGGTATAACTGTAGACCCTGAGGCAGAAGATGGTCTATGTGGAGTTGATAACTGTTTAGTAGCACCCTGTGCTCCACTTCCTGCTGCTCCAGAGAGATTAGTCCTACTAGCCCCACTTGAATTTAAGCTGCTGCCCCTATTGATAGGTACATTCAATCCAACTCCACTCAAGTTATTTTTGCCAGCAGTTCCAGAGGCAGAGGAATTGGTTAATTTAGAAGGGGTCTGAGGATTCTTTGCTGGTTGAAGGCCTGAGGTTCGGTTAGAGGAAAGTAAATTAATTGTGGGGGATTGTCTGCTGACACTTACTCCACTGGACTGTTTATGAAGGGAATTGCTGTTGTTGGAGTGACTGTTCTGGGATACTAGTGTACTTGGACTGGAAGAACTGGGAGATGATATGGGCTTGGTTGTAGACGTGGACTTAGATGAGGGCAGTTTAAGAGATGCAGTAGGTTTGGAAGTTAAAGGCTTAGGTGCTGAGGGTTTGGGAGAGGCAGCAGGTTTAGGAGAGGGAACCATGGAGAAAGGAGGCTTGAAACCCTGGGCAGAAACTTGTGATACCATGGCCTTGGCCAAATAATTACTAGAGGTAGAGGTGCTGGATGTTGTCCGAGACACAAGTGGGTGAACCATTTGGGAACTCCCAGAGGTGGCATTAGACAAAGGAAGGCGGTATACTACTGGTTTATCTGAAGTCTTGGTTACTGGGGAAGAACAGGAAAGTTTGGGATTGCTACTTAATTTTACCACAGGATTGGTTTGAGATTTACTAATAGTTACTTGTAGAGGAGACACATATTTTTGTTGGGCAGTGGACTGCTGGTGAATTTTTGCCACTTGTACTGTTGAGGAGCCACAGCTTTGGACTTCTGAGGAGGTTACAAGCACAACTGTATCCTTTGGCCTTTGTGAAGCAGGAGAAGCTGTAGCTTGCCCTTTACAGGAGGAAGAAATATGGGTCTGGGAAGAGGAAGCAGCTTGTATTTGACTTGACCTCTGTAACCCTTGCTGCAGAAGCTTGGCTGGCAACGGTTCCAAGGAAACCTTGGGATTTTGAATTGAGGATCCAGCAATAAGGCCTGAAGAGATACCAGTCTGAAGCAAATCCTGGGATTTCTTTGGTACTGGTCCTGTGTGCCCAGCTATAAGACTTGATGAATGTTGTGTTTGAACAGCTTCTATCTTTTTTGAGGATGACAGAGGTAATTTGCTCATTATGCTTGCTAGCTTCTCTTCTCTTAGCCCTGCCCGAGGTCTTGAAGCAGATGTGTCTACAGGGGACACAATAGAAGAACTCTTGATCCCATTATTAATAGCAGCCAGAGCATCAGAAACAGAATCTAATGAAGGCGGGTTGAATGACAGATCTTCATCCAATGAGTCATCTAGGCAGATTGTCTCTGGAGCTGGAATACAACTGGCTACAGCATTGATAGGTGTACTAGTACTTGAAGCAGGAACACAAGCTGAAGCAAAAGGGGGACAGGCTCTCTGCTCCTTCTTTGGACTAGAGTCCTAGTGTGAAGAATAAAGTGAGAAAAATTAATTTGTTTTTGAATCCTGTATATTCATAATCCTGTACTGACCTACTGATATAATTGTTCTTTAAAGTACTTCCAGAGTTATTATATAATGCAGGTTTTCAAGAAAACCAAACTGTAATGATGAGAAATAGCACTTTAAATAGCAAAGTATTATGTGGGGAGAAAAAAAAAGACAAGGGCAGAATATATTCTAGAATAAGTTCTGTTTCTCACTGAGATCTGTTGGATATGTCTTATTCCAAAGAAGAAAATGCTTTCTTTCTCAGGCAAAAAGCAAACCTTAAAAAAAAAAAAAGTGAAAGCAAGTATTTGGCTTGATCAGTCTGATTTTATTTCAGTGTTAGATAATAATGGTCCACATTTTGTATTATAAAGATATAGTTTTCATGTTACTACATGGAATATCCATTAAAATAAAATAACAAGATATAAAATTAAACACCCAAGAGCATGCAAATAGCAACAAACATGATACTTTACTTTAGGTATCCTAATATTCTAAATAGAGGGGAGTACAATTTAAAATGGTATAAGTGTGAAGCAGAAAAGAAAAACCTATGACCTGCCATATGTTGCTAAACTATAGTTCCCAGCAGCCCTAGCCACTATGGCTCATGGTGAAGGGTATTGGGAATTGTAGTTCAGCAATGTCTGGAGGGCTATAGATCATCCATCCCAGTTCTAAAGCCTCTGTTCCATCTTAATCCCACAGTTAATCTTCTATAACGTTTTTTCATCAACTAGGAAGAGATATACAAAAATTAACTTAATTGAATAGAGGTCCCTGGTGGTGCAGCACCAGGAGAAAACTGGTAGTGGGGAAATGGCTTGAAACCTACTGTATGTCCCTTTGACTCTTTAAATCATGTGCCCTATTTATCTACCTTAGTGTCAGGTTCAGCCCAAAGAACTCCACGAAACAGTACAGAAATAGTTCTATAGCATTTATTAGCTTTCACCT